GGGGCCCTTGCTTTCTCCCAGGTAAAACTGGAAAGTCGCCATATGTCCTTTTATGTATATAGACTTTATTTTAGATGTGTTTAGTATCTATTTCCTGAATAGCTCAGTAGGTAGAGCGCAGGACTGATAATCTCGATTTTGTGGATTCGATACCTACTCATGCCACTATCATTAAGTAGTTTAGTATTCTAGATTGTTCACTGATAGTATATATATATATGATGAATGTTTGTGCTTCAAAGTGTGTGCTAATTTGTGATATTGTGTGATGACGACATACTGATTGTGTGCTATATTACTTTTTTGTTTGTTTGTTTTGGGTTTTACGTCACATCGACACAGTATAGGTCATATCGCGACGTTCCAGCTTTACTGGTGGAGGAAGACCGCACGAACGGGCACCTGAGTAGAACCACCGACATTCCGTAAGCTAACTGGATAGCTTCCTCACATGAAAGAATCCAAAGTCCCTGTCGGGATTCGAACCCACAGCGGTGAGGAGCAAGTGATGCTATTTTACTTACAATATCTTGAAGCTAACATAGGAATATATTAGTTTGAATTCTGTAAAACTGTGTGGAAAGTGTTTTGGATATATTGTGATATTCTGCTGTGGAGGTTGATTAAATTTGTGTCGTGGACAATTGAATTTCGAACTGCGAGTTAAACTTTAGGACATTTGTTTAATTTGAATCGTGTTTTATTGTGAGTTAAACTTTACTATCATATTTTTGTATTATTATAATTAACTGGTTTTCTTTAATTAACAAGAGCTGTCGGTAGGACAGCACGCTCGACTATTCTATGTGCTTGATAGTATGTCCTTCCAATTATGACCCTAAGTGCATGTGTAAAGTTTCAAGTAAATATCTTTGAAGACCTTTAACCTTTAACCAAAATTTCTAAGTTTCAAAGGGGCAAATAATTCTGCAAATATTGCAGGCAGAGTTGTGCAATTTTGCAAACTGATGTACATTGTTACTATAAAAAAGTATTTTAAATTTCAATTGAATATCTCAAGCAATAATTGAGATATTTGAATTTACAAAAAAACTTTAACCAAAATTTTTAAGTTCCAAAGGGGCATAATTCTGTCAATATTGTAGGCATAGTTATCCAACTTGTCAATCTGATGTACCTTGTTACTATAAATAAGTATTGTAAGTTTCAATTGAATATCTCAAGCAATAATTGAGATATCTGACTTTACAAAAAACTTTAACCAAAAGTTCTAAGTTAAAAAGGGGCATAATTCTGTCAATATTGTAGGCAGAGTTATCCAACTTGTCAATCTGATGTACCTTGTTACTATAAATGAGTATTGTAAGTTTCAATTGAATATCTCAAGTAATAATTGAGATATTTGACTTTACAAAAAAACTTTAACCAACGCAGACGCCGACGCCGACGCTGACGCCGACGCCGGGGCGACTACAATAGCTCTCATATTCTTCGAATAGTCGAGCTAAAAACTGTAAAATTTGTTGCTGTGTTATCTTCTCTGTTGTTTTTAACTCGTAGCAGTCCTTTTATGAACAGTCATTCATTTTAACGTAAAAACAAGTTACAAGAACCATGCTGAAGAGTTCTATTATTTTTCAATTATAACTGTTATTTAGAGAATCCCTATCAATGTTTATTTTGCCAGTAACCAAATTAAGACAAATAACATCATAGCATTTATAGTTCTTCTCATTGGTAACAAAAATGTGCATTTCTTCTCTACATTTAAAGCAACAACAAAACAAACGAAAATAAACAAGCAAATAAGTCAGAAGCAAAACTATGTCATGAAAAGGGGCAACAAGCATTGAAGTAGCATTTATCCTTATATACTCATTTACTGTGTTTGACCCTGCTGGATTTGTGTGCTTTGGAATCCAAAAGATATCGAAGCATAAAATGGGACTACATGTAATAGTCTGACTGTATGGATGTGAAAGCTGCTTTATGCTTATAAACAGATAGTGTTAGAAGTTAAAACTCAGACCCATCAATTATTTGAAGCAACATGCTTCTAACCCCAAAAGCAAGACTACAATAAGGCGAGGAAAAGTAAAAGTACATGTATTCAGCAATATGTTCTCGCCTTTTTACCTGTGTAGCACAATTGTGTCCCTTATGTTTGTTGGGAAAAACACTAAAACACAATGAATACACCTTTTGCTGTTTTTTTCCCCACTTCCATCATTTGGTGTGGTGTACTTTTGCAATTAGATGAAAGGGCAAATAGGCTGATAATAATAGCATTACAGTGACTTTATAACGCTTTTGTACTTTCGCATTGCCATACTTAATTAACTGTTACATTTTACAAATTAGCCATTATCTTTTACATCTTACCAGGCACGATACAAACAGAAAGCACCCCAATGCATTAGAATTGTAAACAATTCTGTTGTTGAAGGGGAAACAGGAAGTGCATCACATTACCCATAATGCAGCAGCTGTTTAGAGCTCTAAATGTACTAACATTAAAAGTTTGTATCGTATTTTAATCTCTTTTGATTTGAACAAATGTTTGACTTTTTGGAATACAAATTGATGCCAAGATCTGATATTTTAGAATGTTGAAACACACACAGGTTTTTAGGTGTGAAAATCAAAATATTAACTGCTCATGACCCCTTGTCAGAATTAATTGTTGTTAATCACATTGAAGTTGACGTATTTTTTAACAGTATAATATAGAAATACAAAAAAAACCCATAAAATTATATATTCCTATGAATTAACAAGCATTTCTATATTAAAATTGAATAAATTAGAATAAACGGTACTGAAAAATAATTTTAACTTTGTTGTTGTCTTAGTAAATGGCTTAAAAACTAAGGGATGTTTAGAAACGGTCAGTCATTGTGATATAATGATAGAAAGAATGATAAACTGTTACTTATTTGATCTCAAGGGAAGTAAAATGTTATCTATAAATGATAATATCTTATTGTAGCCTGTTAAAAGAGCATAAAATATGTGTCATGTTGGTTTTTATCAAAATTGATGTTTGTATCTTGGCCAGAGATCTACCTACCTTGCTTTCTTGGAAAACTAACTAGTAATAACCAATTTCTCCACAAGTGACCGAGTACTAATCCCACATGACCTTTTTATCAGTGTTGTGAGTAAAATGACTATTCAATTCAATATCTGAGATCAAATTTTGTAACGGTTAAATTACTTTTCGCCCGAGGAACGAACAAGCAACCTCTGGAATACTTATCTGATGCCCTCCCTGGTAAGCTAATTTGCAGACTCCCTATCTAGTTAAGAAAATGAACAAGTGCATGGAAATCCTTTGATATCATTTCCTATAGCCAGTAAATAAAAACTAAGCTATTTTTTAGATATAGAAAATGCTAAGTTTTTTCAAATACCTTTTTACTTATTTCTATTTTACATGTAGTGCACTAAGCAACAAGCAATCAACTTCGTCATTTTTCTCAAAAGCTATTTAACTACATATAAAGCATTAACAAGGTAATTTTCCAAGAATTTTACTACAACTTTAAATCACATAGAATCATAATCACCTCATTATTATATTACCAAACAGTGGCAGTTTCTCTTACAGAGGTTTGATGAGAGTGGAGATTTGTGTGCCACTTGATATAGGTTCTACACTAATAACTTGTACATGTATGCTAAATTTCTGATCATTCTTTCTCAATCCTAACAGACGTTATCAGTTAAAATGATAAAAGGTATTTCTCAACACAGCAATTTAAAGCAGCACACCTACAGATTAATTGATTTTCATGAAATATTTTAAAAGTAAAATATTGTCAAGTGAACAAAGAAAATAATTGACACATTGCAAACAGCACTTGTAGTCCATGTAAATTAACAAAATGTGGTTAAAATACGCAAAAGTTAGCATTTACTGCGTTAGTTATGCAGTAGAAATGTAAGGATAAATGCTGCAAAATCAGTCCTTAATCACACATGGCATGTAAATTATTACTTGAATGTTAAATCTTTTTAATTTTCTTAAAATCTGAAGTACATTTTTATCAAGTTTAATTTTCTTGAAATATTTTTGGCTCATCTGGAGGCATGCAGCTTTAAAAATATCAGGAATATGATTTTCACACACATGTGACTATATATTTCAAAAGATCTTTACAAAAAACAATTACATGTATTCTTCATACAAAAAAAAACAAACCAAAATATATATACTCTTCAAATAAAAAAAACAAGAGCACCGCTAGGCGGAGCATTATATGCCCGAAAGTGTTGTGTATTTTTAGTAAGGATGAAGCATTTGTAAGACATGATAATTAAATAAAGTATTACCTCCTTCAAATAGCAATCCTCCTATGAAGTTTGAATATTGTGGGCCAAATGGAAGTTAAGTTATGCTCCGGAAACTGTTTTCAGTTTTAAGGTAATAGTGACCTTTGACCTTGTGACCCCAAAATCAATAGGGGTCTTCTACCCAATATGGACAATCATCCTATGAAGTTTGAACACTGTGGGCCGAATGAAACTTAAGTTATGCTCCGGAAACTGTTTTCAGTTTTAAGGTGATCTTGACCTTTGACCTTGTGACCCCAAAATCAATAGGAGTTTTCTACACAATATGGACAATCATCCTATGAAGTTTGAATATTGTGGGCCAAATGGAACTTAAGTTCTGCTCCTGAAACTGTTTTCAGTTTTAAGGTAATAGTGACCTTGATCTTTGACCTCAAAATCAATAGGGGTCTTCTACCCAATATGGACAATCATCCTATGAAGTTTGAACACTGTGGGCCAAATGGAACTTTAGTTATGCTCCGGAAACTGTTTTCAGTTTTAAGGTAATAGTGACCTTGATCTTTGACCTCAAAATCAATAGGGGTCTTCTACCCAATATGGACAATCATCCTATGAAGTTTGAACACTGTGGGCCAAATGGAACTTTAGTTATGCTCCGGAAACTGTTTTCAGTTTTAAGGTAATAGTGACCTTGACCTTTGACCTTGTGACCCCAAAATCAATAGGGGTCTTCTACCCAATATGGACAATCATCATATGAAGTTTGAATATTGTGGGCCAAATGGAACTTAAGTTATGCTCCGGAAACCAAATTGCTAACGGACGGACGGACGTACGGAGGGACGGAGGGGTTTGGTCTATTGTTCTCATAACAATAGATGTCTTTGATGTCATTCATTCCGTTTCTCTTGTGGGGTTATTTTCTGCATTGTGGGGTTAAAAAGAACAAAAGAAATAACAAAAGAAAACCCCATAATGTAGCTCTGGTAAGAACCATAATGTAGCTCTGGTTTGTACGGACAGACAGACGGACGGACGCCAGGGGGTATAACATAATATGCCCGAAATTCTTTCGGGCATATTACAATAACACACCAACAACAACAACAAAAGAACACTAAAAGAAAAACCAAAGGTAAAAAAATATTCATCATTGGATTTAGAGTGATGAATGTATAAATTAATATCCTTCAAAAATGTTTCATTATCTTAAATAATGTACATATATTATGATAATAATCGTAAGAGAACAGCTGAGATCATTGGTATATTCGCTGCCATTTTTGCTTTTCACAAAGTAAACAATTTTTAAAATGTTGTGAGAATTGACATGAATCTGGAGGTATGATTCTAAAATACCATTTTATAATGCATTTTTTTTTTGTAATATACAAAAGAACAGAGTGTGTTTCTTAAATACCATTTCTATACTGCATATTTGAAATATACAAACGGAAAGAGTGTAAAATATAATATAATATATATAATATTTAGTACTATTTAAGCTGGTGAGATTATTTAGTACTGTACAACCTAGTGCTAATATTTAGTACTATACAACCAGGTGATAATATTTAGTACTGTACAACCAGTAATGTATTTTTTGTGTAAAGCAGTGTAAACATTCCAATTTGTACTCATTAACAATTCATCTGGAACTTGATACTAGTATTCTATCAATAATATGCTAATATCGGCCCAATTACAATTGCATACCCAATAGTCATGATAGACACAAATTCTCTGGCTCAAATTCTTGAGCTTTAACTTTAACCTTGACCTGAATATGGACTAAGTGGGATTATTAACCAACCTAAGTATTAATATTTCTTAAGACATCATGCAAACAAAAATTCAAACCAAATATATAGAAGTTTTCTAGCAAATCTAAAATTTAAGAGCGCACACATATTTGTAAAATCAAACCTTTGACCTTTATTTTCAGACCTTGACCCTTTACATGTACCTCCAATGATGTGGTTTTACCCATGATTTATTTCAATAAGATAAATGTTTAACCCATATATCAATTATATTGCTTAAATAATTCTAAAAGATGTACAGCAGAAACAAACAAAAAATGCTGGTTTAAACCTTAAACCTTTGACATTGATGTACAAGTTGGACATCTTAAATTTGGGTGTAGCATTGTGTTTCAATGGGATGAACATTTGGCCAAAGTATAATGAATATCCTTCAAGGGCCTCAAAATGTAGAGCAGATACAAAATATAAGAATAATGAAACCACAATAGGAATTATAAAGTATATGCAAATATAAATAGAAAAAGATTTCTCTTTCAATTCACACAGCCGTATCTATCTTTTACATAAGTTTTGTCATTACAAAACAATTCACGAACATCAATCTAAAGTTTATCATATATAATATACAATTTAGTTATTTTCTGGATTTTTTCACTTAAATTGAAATTTTCAAAATCAGATGAGAATTTACTTTAACTAGGTGATATTCTACAGAGGAGTTTCATCAGAAAATGACCAGATCTCTCACAAACAGACTCTGTATCCCGAGTAAATTCAGCTTCTACTCTATGCCTAGTTTCTTACACAAGTCAGAAAATAGTTTTTGTTGTACATCTTTATCCTGCTCTCTAAGACTTAATTTAAAATGACCTAATTCATAGTTATGACCAATAGTCTGAAGAATATCCTTTATTGGTGTAACATAAGAGACCTTCAATTTTTTATCATTACCTGTAAGAATACCCACTGCCGTCAATTTGCCTGTTTCTTTGTTAACTTGAAACACAGCAGCCCCAGAATCACCCTTTTTTGAAAAAGGGATCTCATAAGATTCCCATTTTACCACAGACTGGTTTTTAAGTAATAATTGAGGTTTAGGTCTGTTAAATAATCTTTTAAATCTATCCATAATATTTTCGACTGATTGGTAATCAACTTCAAATGTAAAATCTGTTTGTATTATATTTCCCATAGCTAGACCAGTAACTGCTCCCAGAATGTAAACTTCTGATTCTATTTCCATATACTCCCCTATATTCCCTTCGAAATACAAATGGTCCGGAAAGTCATGGCATTTCCATTGACAATATAGATGACCAATAGGAGGAATGATACTACCATCTATTACAGGAGTATCTGAATCTGTACCTTCTTTATTAAAATCAGTATCTAAAGAAAATGGCCTTGTACTTGTATCAAACTGAGGGCAGTCTGAACCTGTGGCACCCATCACAGGTGTATCAGACTGAGAGCAAACGGAACCTGTACCATATGCATCTCGTAGTGAAGGAAGTGGAACAAGACCATGATGGCCAGTAGGAATAGGAAAATCGTTTGATTGAAAGTAAGGCACAGAACTAGTGTCAACAAAAACAATTTCGACTCCAGCAGACTGGTCATCTCCTTCTGAATACACCCCTTGTCTAATGACAGCACTCCCAATTCCTTCAATATGACACTGATTTTTTAAACTTACAAATATTTTTTGATTTTTTTTCATTTTATTGAATATTGATACATCTAACAAAATATGTGAACTTGTCATAAGGTTCATGGCCCCATCTTTATAAAATATATATCCTAAACTTCCCACACCACCATATTCACTAATGATCTTCTGACCCAATAAATATTTATTTTCTAGGTAATACATAACACAAAAGTGATCTGCAGATTTCTTTCTCCTAATTGCAGTAATACCAATTTGGTTGAGAAACCTTTCCCATTCACCCATTTTAATATTAATCTTAGATAACATTAGAAATTTACAGCAATATTGATCCAAATTTAAAGATTTTGCATAGCTTACTAAATTTTGTTTCTCAAGGAAGAAAGAGAACTTTCTGTCTTTTTTGAATTTTTCTAGCTCCTGGAGGTCTTCTGGAACATTTATGCTATTAATGTCCTCTTTAAGTTCCTTCAGCTCTTTGCTGATAGGATCATTTGCTTGAAACCTGTCATGTTTACCATCATAATGGGGCATTGACAAAGCAGACCAGAAAGAGTCAAAGTCTGGCAAAAGACTGTAAATGTCGGACAACAGGTCATCATGTCTCTTATCTTTCAAACTGTTGACCAGACATAACCAGTGGATATCACTTGCCAGAAGGTGGTCAATGCGAGTAACTATGTCCCTAAGAGTAACATCATTTGGTGGAACTTCTTTTTTCACTTTGAGATTATATGATACATTTGCAAAGTAAGTATAAAGTTTTCTCTCCGCTTGCAGCTCATCTTTAACCATAACTTGATTGTCACCTGTATCAATCAAAGAGAGCAATACTCTCCAGTTGCCACCCAACAATTTGTTCACTGTCTGTAAATCATGTTTTGATGGAATTATAAGATCATCATCTAATCTTGGAGTCTGAAAATAATATTTTATTAAAGGTTTAGACTAACTTCGGTAATTTTTCTAGGACATTGGACAAGACAAATTCAAAAAATATTTTTCAAAGTGTGCTGAATTCAATATCTGATGTTTAAAATAATGTGATGTTATCAAACAAAGAAGATATAAGAGCTGTTGAACTATGCTAAGAGAGTGGTAGTTGAGCAGCATTGAAATAATCAATGTATCCACAAGTATCAATTTACAATAATAGACAATTAAAGCATGTTTGATCTGATGATGAACCATTAAGCCTAATCCTAGGCCCCATGTAAAGGTTTGGCTGGATAATGATTGACATAACTATTTTACACAAGATCCTTGAAGAAAAGAAGTTTAGATCTTCATATCATTAAACATTTAAACCAAGTAATACTCTACCTTAAGGTTACTTGCTTCCAGTGGAATTTGATGAACATAAAGTGATGGTGGCTCCCTCACCTGCAAAAACAGAAATCATATCCATAAACTAGAAATGTGTCCATGAACACGGGTGCCCCAAAACTCCACTGTTTTGTCAATCTTATGACTTAAGGTCAAATATTTTTTAGACTACATGTGCATAAAGTTGAAAACTAAAAATCGTTTACTAAGTCAATGGCAAGAACTTATAAATCCACAAGCAAACCCCAGGTTGCATAAGTACATGGCTGAGCAACATTCTTGTAAACTTTGAGACCTACAGGTCAAATATTTTTTGAGTTATGCATGAACAAGTTGAAAATTGCAAATTTATACTAAGTCAAGGACAATAACAAAACTGAAAAAAATCCACATGCAAAACCCCAAGTGCATAGCTAATAAGTGATCTTTATTCCTGTAAAGTTGGTTGATTCTAACTCGAGGAACAAATAACACACATAATGGAACGGTCTTCAGGAATTCAAGGGCAATAAATCTGACAAAACAGAATAAATCCACAAGTGAAACCCCAGGTGCACAACTTTACATGCTGAGCAACGTTCCTGTAAAGTTTAATGACACTAGATCAAATACTTTTTGAGTAACATGCGACACAAGTTGAAAATTTTTACGATGTCAACATATCCACATGAAAATACCCAGGTGCACAACTACACATGCTGATCAACATTCCTGTAAAGTTTTATGACTCTAGGTCAAATACTTTTTGAGCTACATGTGACACAAGTTGAAAATTGCAAATATTTACTAAGTCAAGGGCAATAAATATAATAAAACAGAATAAATTCACAAGCGAAAACCCAGGTGCACAACTACACATGCTGAGTAACTTTCCTGTTAGGTTTTAGGTCAAACACTTTTTGAGATATGTGCGACAAAAGTTGAAAATTGCAAATTTTTTCTAAGTCAAGGGCAATAACTCTTAAAATACTAAATATATCCACACGAAAGTACCCAGGTGCACAACTACACATGCTGATCAACATTTCTATCAAGTTCCCTGACTCTAGGTCAAATACTTTTTGAGCTACGTGCGACAAAAAGAGAACGGACGGACAGACAAGGGTAAATATAAATGCCTATTATATCAAAAATGTGTGAAATAATAATTTGTTTGTCCCGTAATCTGATAGACATTACATTGAGTTTATGGACAATTGTACAGATCCAATAGCTTGCTGTACATTCAACCTCGTTTTCTTACATTATAAAAAAAAACAGACAACAATTTAAACGGCTAAAGATATGACTGGTGATGACAAATTTCTTAAATATTTTATGATAATCTGAGGATGATATCTTTTATGAATCGATTGAAAAATCTGACAGATATGGAAATATATTTTTAGTGAATGTTTTGAATATAATGTTTGCCAGTAAATCGAACATGATGAACATTCATGATAATAAAAATCAAGGTCAGATCATATTGATTTAGTGATACCTTTTATTTCTGTTAAAATATGTCAGGCATTTATATGATTTTTATTGCCTTTTTTTAATTTGGTAGGACAAAAATATATAATATCCCGTTCTTACATGTATTTGTACATCATACCACAGACTTTAGCTTAGTTTTTCGTTATTTTAATTAATCAATTTATATTTAAAGGAATTTCATACATGATTACACAGGCAGCTTGACACTGATATAATATAATAATGATGATGATAATAATAAACTTCAAAAGTGAAACAAATAAATTATTCCTCTAGCGGTTCTAACGTTATATGCGTTCCCAGTATCCCCACAGAGTGCCTCAAATTTACCAATAGTCATGTGACATCTGAGACAGATACCAGACGGACAGTATATCACATTAAGATTTGAAGAAATTACTGCTATAAAATGATATTAATCAGCAGTTTTTTAATTGGTCAGATGTCACTGGGTCATAAAAAGTTGTTAAAGTATGTTACCGCATCTTGTGACCCCCTTTGGTGTGATATTTGCGTGTTATGCAATAATTTAGGGTGAAATGCAGGGAGAGAGAACAGCCGATTTATGACACTTTGTTTGATGCCGTCAGACTAACTTTGAATCGGCATAACTTTTTTAATAATCAAGCAATTTACATGCAGTTTAAAGCACTTGAAAGGGAATTCATTTATGGAGGGAACCGTGTCAGGGATTTTTGTTAGCTAAATCAGTGACTTAATTACATACATGTGACATCCCGGCGGGATTTAAAAAAATCCCGATATTTCAACACTGATCCCGATTCCCGATATTACAGCTTGAATTCCCGATATTTAAAAAAAATCAACATAAAAAAAATTAAACACAGCACCTGTATCTAAAATGTAAACCGTGCCTCCGGGCATTGATTGTTATCTGTCCATATCCTAAATTATAGCGGATTAAATGTTGAGTCGCTAATTGACAGCAAGGTGACGTAATAAACAGTTCCAATACCCAAAGTTATTCTCACATGTTTAACTTATCACGTGTCGTGTGTCAGTCAATTGACCTCTTTTGTAATTTGGCAGTAGGTATTACACGCTACGTCATCAAAACTACATTGTAAATTTACATGTATGAATTCGGCTCAACCTTTGATTTTCTTTGATTAGTGCCGCACTGATAAAGATAAAAGGGGAGCAGAATCATTTAAAGTGGATCATTCAAAACCTGTTTGAGATGTCTAATTAACCTATTTTTAGTGAGTGGGTATTTTTTTGTTTTGTTTAGGAATTACGCAATCATCGAGGCAAAAATGTGGATTTAATAACAGAATGATTCTTGCATTTATTTTGAGTCTTTTACTTATGTTACGTTATTTAACTGTCATAGTCTTATGTTTATGAATAGTTGTTGCACGTTTTCAAATAGCTTGTGTTTAATTATTGAATGACTGAAAAGACATTATATATAATTCTTCAAACTGAAAATAATGAAATGTGAAAGTGCGACTGTTTTAGAAATAGCCAGTATGACTACACTTCTTTATTTATCTATTTATTTATTTTTCTGGTGAAATAAATTAATATTGATCAACAAAAAAATCATAAAAAGTATTATCATTTAATGATTTTGAGGGTAATATAGATTCTTTGAACCAAATGTGCCAAACAGGCACTGATATTCGAGTCGATAAAAAATCCAGTTTTGAGCCTCAAAATCCAGCTGAAAATCCAGATTTGGCCCATTTCATTTGTCACATGTATGTAATTATCTTTAATTACGTTATATGTATGGTTAAAAAAGTCGCATGAAATGTTTAATGTTAAGTAATATTTTTTTTATAAAAGATAAATAATCTGAGACAACCTTCCCTATATTCCAAATGTTTGAGGACCAAAAAATAAACAAGAGCCGGTTGAACCGGGTGATGCTCCCCGAATAGGTTTTGGACACAGGAAGGTATACCTCTTGTTGTGTCAGAGTTATGTCACAGACAAAGTTCAAAGTGTAAAAACAACCCAAATATTGTGCATGACACATTGTCTAAATATGGTGATCATTTTTGTGAAATAGTTGTAAAATCCGATTTCAAATAACAAAGTTATGCACCTGACATTATTTTGCTGCAAGGTCATGCTGTGACCTTGACCTTCAACGAAGTGACCTAAATGTTGCATGCGACTCGTCGATTCAATATGGTGATCATCTCTGTGAAATAGTTGTTAAATCTGACTTCCAGTAACAAAGTTATGGGCCGGCCACGATTTTGCTGCCAGGTCATACCGTGACCTTGACCTTCAAGGTAGCGACCCAAATGTTGCGCGCGACACAATGTCTCATTGTGGTGATCATTTCTGTGAAATAGTTTGTAAAATCCGACTTCAAATAATGAAGTTAATGTGCCGGACACAATTTTTGCTTTCAAGGTCATGCTGTGACCTTGACCTTCAAGGTAAGCGACTTAAATGTTGCGCATGACACGTCATCTTAAATATGATCATTTCTGTGAAATACTTTTTAAATCTAACTTCAAATATAGGAAAGTTATGGGCCGGACACGATTTTGCTGCCGAAGGTCATGTTGTGACCTTGACCTTCAAGGAAGCGACCCACATGTTGCACGCGACACATCGTCTCAATATGGTTGATCATTTCTGTGGGAATATTTTTTAAATCCGACTTCAAATAACAAAGTTATAGACCGGACCCGGATTTTGCTGCAAGGTCATTGCTGTGACCTTGACCTTCAAGGTAGCGACCCAAATGTTGTGCGCGACACGTCATCTCAATATGGTGATCATTTCTGTGAAATAATTTTAAAATCCGACTTCAAATAACAAAGTTATGGGCCGGACACAAATTCGGGAAGTACGTACGTACGGACGGACTGACGGACGGACAGACGGACGGACGGACAACCCGACGACTATATGCTCCCCCGAAATTTTTCGGGGAGCATAAAAATGACTTTGATAGGACGATTTAAAATAATAGTATTTTTGTCCAAAATTTATTATTTATAAAGGCATTTTTTACAAATAAGTTATTTTTATGAAGATCAAAGACATTTAATGCATAAGATATAACAATTGTTACTAAAATAAGTTGGTTTAAATGACATTTATGGTAGTACCACGGAAAGTGTCTGATATACTATTCTTATCCTTAAGTAAAATATTTTAATCACAGAAATTTATTGAAATCTATGAAATTCTCACTGAATATGTCTAATTAGAATAAAAGGATGAATTAAACTATGTATGGGAAGCTGTGTTTCCTATTAGTTACAGGTTAAGTAAAGTAAGGCTTTTCTTAAAATAACTGCCAATTTTTTAATGACACTATAGTTATTACATTCATATTGTGACCAACTATTATAAGTAACATAACAAATCTACTTTGTGTGAAGTCAAAACCTGTTTATCTATAATTTACAAAGAAACTGTGTAGCAATAATAAATATTTTCTAATATCAAATTTTAGCATACTAGTATATCTTTAAGTAACCCTAAAGCTGGACATTTTTTGACCCTATAGATGTGTGATTTATGTTACTTTATTTGTAAAGGACCACAAAACAAAACACGAGGGCCATAATGGCTCTGAGTCGCTCACCAGAAACAACTGCTTTAATCAGTGTTGGAAATTATCCATTGTCAATATTTTCTTATATTAAATTTGAGCATAGAATATGTTTAAACAATAATTTGAAGAAATGCCATGACCTTTGGCATTTAAGCTTAAGCTTAAATGAGGCCAATCAAATTAATATGGGTAAACTTGATAAAAGACTACCTAAGAATGCTACAAAGGTTGGTGATCATCTATCAATTATTTCAGTAGGAAATAGTGTTCAAAGGTTTTTCTATTTTTAGCCTTAGTGGCCCCTAAAAGGGGCAAATCAAATTAAGATGAGCAAACTTGATAAAAGAGTATCTAAGAATGCTACAGACAAAGTTTGGTGATCATCCATCAATTAGTTCTGTAGAAGAAGATGTCTAAAGGATTTTCTATTTTTAGCTCTAGTGATCCCTAAAAGGGGCCAATCAAATAAATATGAGCAAACTTGCTAAAAGGGTACCCAAGGATGCTACAGACAAAGTTTGGTGATCATCCATCGATCAGTTCTCTAGAAATAGACATTTAAAGGTTTTTCTATTTTTAGCTTTAGCGGCCCCTAAAAGGGGCTTATTAAATAAATATGAGCAAACTTAATAAAAAACTACCCAAGAATGCTGCAAACAAAGTTTGGTGATCCTCCATCAATTACTTCTGTAGTAGACGATGTTTAAAGGTTTTTCTAATTTTAGCTCTGTTGACCCCTAAAAGGGGCCAATTGAAATGACATGAGCAAATTCATGTGTGACTGTCACAAGGATGCTACAGACCAAATTTGAAGTAAATCTGCCAAGCAGTTTCAGAGAAGAAGACGATTGTTGACGCATGACAACGGACGCCAGAGCATCCCCCTTTGATACTAATAGCTCACCCTGAACCTTCGGTTCTAGTGAGCTAAAAAATTGCTACATGACAAAAATTAAGCTCCGGGCAGTATAATTTCATACAAAAAGACATGTGTTTAAATTTAAGATATGCACTTTAACGGCCGGTTTAATGTTTTGTTATTACAGGTTCTAGTGACCTTTCAGACCTGAAAATGGATGCCGTTGGTAGAACTCATCAAGATGAATCTTATTCAATACATTTTCCTTAAATGTACACTTTATATTTTGTATTACATATTTCTAGTGACCTCTGGGCAGTTTCACACACCAAGCCTTATATGTGTGCCCCTATTTAAGTCTATATAAATCCCTATTTAAGTTTATATAAATCAAGTGACCTACAAGAGCAACCGCAAGATTATTGTGTTGTAATTTCAGCTTATGGAAATTATTCTTGCATTATTATAAAAACCTTTACCAGGACTTCACAAATGAGATATTTATTATTCAGTCAAATTACATGTTAGAGTTATAGCATGATTGTGTGAAGTTTCAAGTAAATATCTTTAGTGGTTATCCAGACACAGATGCCCAGGAGAGTAGAATAGAAAACTCAAAGTTAATTATACTTTACCTTGCTATTACTTGGAACTATGCGATTTGCACAATCATCAGGTGATTCTTTATTTTGAACCTGTGAAAATAAAAATCATATCAATATTGAAAGATTTGCCAATGGTCTTAATAAAACATGAGCAATAGTGACCCTAAAACCCATTCCCCTGAGAATGGGTGTAAAACCCTCAATTGAGATCCAATGCAAGAAAAGATGATTGACCCCAGCGGCATGATTAATAAATTACTTTTCACTAGGAAAGGCAATACACCAAATACGTATTATTTTTGTTCTGAGAATTGAAATTTTCCACAAGATTTAAAGGTGTTTTCCGAAACAAGTCTAAATAATCTAAATAACTCAAGAATGGGTTTACTTTTGACTCCCAGTGGCATGATTTATGTAACATTTGCAGGAGACAGCAATGTTAAATATCTGAACTGTTTCAGCATGTCAAATAAAAGACAATGTGCAGATGTGTCTAATGTTCAAATACAAAGGCCATAGTATAACAAGAATTTGTAACAGAGTTACCAACGTCCCCCCCCCCCCTTTTCAGTCCCCAAAAATCCATGATCAATGCTAAAGATCGCAAAATGCAACAAATAAATTTTTAAAAAAATAAAACAGAAAACAGAATTTAACAAGGGCGAAAGTGCTTTTTTTTTAGTAAGGATGAAGCATTTGTAAGACATTACATAAATTAAATAAAGTATTACCTCCTTCAAATAGCAAACCTCCAATAAAGTTTGAATATTGTGGGCCAAATGGAACTTAAGTTATACTCTGGAAACTGTTTTCAGTTTTGAGGTTATAGTGACCTTGAACTTTGACCTTGTGACCAAAAAATCAATAGGGGTCTTCTACCCAATATGGACAATCATACCATGAAATTTGAACACTATGGGCCAAATAGAAATTAAGTTGTGTTCTGGAAACTGTTTTCAGTTGAAACTGTTTTCAGTTTTAAAGTAATAGTGACCTTGACCTTTGACCTTGTGACCCCAAAATCAATAGGGGTCTTCTACCTTTTATTGACAATCATCCTATGAAGTTTGAATATTGTGGGCCACATGGAACTTAAGTTATGCTCCGTAAACTGTTTTCCAGTTTAAAGGTAATAGTGACCTTTGACCTTTGACCTTGTGACCCTGAAAATCAATAGGGGGTATTCTACCCAATAATGGACAATCATCCTATGAAGTTTTAATATTGTGGCCCATATGGAACTTTTAAGTTATGCTCCCCGGAAAAAACTGTTTTTTCAGTTTTAAAGTAGTGACCTTGACCTTGACCTCGTGAACCCAAAAATCAATAGGGGCCTCCTATTCCAATATGGACAATCATTCCATGAAGTTTGAATTTTGTGGGCCAAGTAGACCTTAAATTATGCTCCGGAATCTGTTTTCAGTTTAAAAGTAATAGTGACCTTGAACTTTGACTTTGTGACCCCAAAATCTATAGGGGTTTTCAACCTAATATGGACAATCATCCTTTGAAGTTTGGACACTGTGGGCCAAATGGATCTTAAGGAAACTGTTTTCAGTTTTAAGGTAATATTGACCTTGACCTTTGACCTTGTGACCCAAAAATCAATAGGGGTCTTGTACCCAATATGGAAAATCATCCTATGAAGTTTGAATATTGTGGGCCACATGGAACTTAAGTTATGCTCGGGAAACTGTTTTTTCAGTTATTAAGTAATAATGACCTTGACCTTTAACCTTGTGACCCCAAAATCAATAGGGGTCTTCTACCCAATATGGACAATCATCCTTTGAAGTTTGAACACTGTGAATCAAACTGAACTTAAGTTAGCTCCGGAAACTGTTTTCAGTTTTAAGGTGATAGTGACCTTGACCTTTGACCTCGTGACCCCAAAATCCATAGGAGTGTTCTACCCAATATGGACAATCATCCTATGAAGTTTGAATATTGTGGACCAAATGGAACTTAAGTAATGCTCCGGAAACCAAATTGCTAACGGACAGACGGACGGACAGATGTTCTAACAGGAGGTTAATTATGTGGCTACTCTATTGTTCTCTCTATTGTTCTTTTTAGCCACACAAAAGAAAACAGCCACATAAAAGCATTACAGAATGAATGATATCAATGAGAAAGAACAGTTACCTATTGTCCCTCTAGCCACATAATTACTGGACAGACAGACGGACGCCAGGGGGTATAACATAATATGCCCGAAATTCTTTTGGGCATATAAAAATCCATCATGTTAAGCTTTGACCTCTAAGAGTGACCTTGGAGGTAGGGGTGCAGGTGTTGTGCATGACATATCATCATTCTTATTATTGTAACTAATTGTGACAAGTATTTTCAAAATCCCTTGAACTATGAAGAAGTTATAGATCAGACATAAAATATACATTATAACAGGCTATGTTAATCTTTGACCTTTAAGTGTGACCTTGGAGGTAGGGACCAATGTTTTGCGCCTGACATATCGTCTTATTATTGTGAATATTTGTTCAAAGTATTTTTAAAATACCTTTATCTATGAAAAAGTTATGGACTAAACACAATATAAACCCTGTAACAAACTATGCTAATCTTTGATCTCTAAGTGTGACCTTGACCTTGGAGGTAGGGCTGCAAGTGTTGTACTTGACATATCATCTTATTATTGTGACTTTTTGTGCCAAGTTATTTCAAAATCCCTTAACTATGAAGAAGTTCTAGATCAGACACAAAATATACCCTATAACAGACTATGTTAATTTTGACCTCTACGTGTGACCGTGACCTTGGAGGTAGGGATGCAGGTGTTGCGCATGACACATTGTCTTATCATAGTGACTATTTGTGCCAAGTATTTTCAAAACCCTTCGATCTTTGAAAAAGTTATTGACCGGACACAAATATACCCTGTAACAGACTATGTTAATCTTTGACCACCAAGTGTGACCTTGACCTTGGAGGTAGGTGACCGGTTTTAGGCATGACACATCGTCTCATTATTGTGAACAATTGTGGCAAGTATTTTCAAAATACCTTCAAAGATAAGAAAGTTATGGACTGGACAGGACATATACCCTCAAATAGGAAATGTTGACCTTGAATGAGCAAGTACGACCTTGACTCTTGAGGTAAGGGTCTGGTTGTTGCGCATGACACATCGTCTTATTATAACAAATATTAATTTTGTGCCACGTTATTTCAAATTCCTTTGATAAATGACAAAGTTATGGACCGGACACGAAAGTGTGACGGACGGATGGACGGACATGCCAAGATTTGGGGTTTATGTGCTTTTTCTTTGATCTTTATGTGGTATTTTCCCCATAAACCAGTAAAATAACCACATAAACCAATCAATTTATGGGATTTCCTTCTTTTTTTAACTAAAATTGTGTGCGGAAAGACCATTGGATGTTTGCCCGGATGGACAGACGGACGGAGCCTATTTCTATTTTCCCCTTTTTTCTTCGAAAAGGCGGGGGACAAAAAAAGGGCATAATTCTGTCAAAATGCTTGATACAGTTACCTCCTCCTGTCTACAAGTTGGGATCATGATGGTGAACAAGTGTGCAAAGTTTCAAAGCCATATGTCAATGAACTTTGAAAATATTTGAGGTATTACAAAAACTTTAACATAAGTAGTTAAGCAGACACTGACGCCTACGCTCAGGTGACTACAACAGCTCTACTTATTCTTATCGAATAGTCAAGCTAAAAATGAATAAACGGCAATAATTCCAAAATTAGGCAAAATAAGGCCTGTACAGTTCGTTTGCACTGCACATTCACCCAATGAGATCGATCTTAAAGGGGATATCTCTTGTAGTTTCACAGTTATGTCCGGACAAAGTTCAAAGTGTAAAAATAAACAAAGGGTAATCACTCCAAAATTAGGTTAGGCAGAGTTACGGTTCTTTTGCAATGCACTTCTAATCAATGAGATCTATCTTCCTACAAAATTTAAAGTTGATATCTCTTGTACATTGTAAGTTATCTCCCAGACAAAAAAACTACAATGGACCAACTGACCAACCAACCAACCACCAGCTGACTCCAGTATACCCCCACAAACTTTGTTTGTCTGGGTTATAAAAATACAAATAATGTTCATGAAACAGTTCTGTATCTAGGATATTAACCAAAGAATTTTATACACAAAGGGCCTTATTTTATTCAAAATCCATGCCAGAGTTATGTGTCTTGGAAAAAGATCAAGAATTGCATTTTTAGGTTTCAAGAGAATACAAACAGTAGTGTTATGAAAGATGAATTTTGTGAACAAACCTTAAATCAAAAATTTTCTAAACTCACAAAAGCCATAAATCAGTCAAAATCCATGCAAGAGTTATGGGCCTGGACAGTTACATCCTATTATGCTATTAAAAAAGGGTGTGAAGTTACAAGATGTTGCATTCAAAACTGTAACCAAAGTATTACACTGATGCCTGGGTGAGTAGGATAGCTCTACTATTCTAATTTCTTTGAATGGCTGAGCTAAAAACAACAAAAGCATCTTACCTCATCTGCATCTTCAATGTCAATGGCTGAATTATCCGGGATTCCTCCATCTTCATTTGTAGTACTTCTTGATACCTGCAAAAAATGTTATGAATGATAAAATAAATCAAAATATTGTAAAATATATGTATAAAATAGTCTAATAAACAGTTTCTAAATTGCTTACCTAAGATGTATTGGAAGATCATGCAGAAGTAGGTCATTTGGTCACATTGAGGTCAGGCCTTTTTTCAAATAGTGTCATGATTCATATAACTTTAATAGGGAGCAACTAGGGAATGCTAAATGAACTTTTGGGCACAACTCAACATGGTATCAAGTTGTATTGAATTCAAAACATTAGTTTTTAGCTCGACTTTTTTTTTTTGAAAAAAAAAAATTGAGGTATTGCTATAGTCAGGTCGGCGTTGCCGTTGCCGTTGCCGTCCGAAAACTTGTACCTGGATCATAACTTTTTTATTTCTTTGTGTATTGTCTTCATACTTGGCCACAACAACCCTTGGGACAAGACCTTTCAGTAGACCACACTAACCTTGACCTTCATCCATAAATGACCTTGACCTTCAAGGTTAAAAGTCCAA